TAAGTAGCATGGAAAAGTAAACCCTCCAAATGATAGTTAATGGCATGGAACTATATAGGGTTTTTTTCTCCTGACCAGAAGGGAGTGTGATAAAAACCTAAGTCCTATGACATGTACATAAGTAAACACATGCACACATCTTCAACTAGAAGCTGGTCATGTACTGGACTTTTAATACAAGTCTCTGCATTAAAGAAACAAACAGCAAAGTGCCCCCGAAAAGTTACTTTCAGCATTATTTTGAGGAATCAGGAGTAGCTACGTAAGCCCTGAAAAAAAGTATGAGATCTTGGGGAGGGGACAGAAAGGAAAAAACACAGGATATAGAATAGGGCAAAGGGGTGCAAAACTCTGGGAGCGTTTGTCTCGTTGCCAGGGAGCCGGAGAGGACGACGACTCCTTCCGTCGCCAGCACAGTCTTCCCAGAGTTTTGCACCCCTTTGCCCTATTCTATATCCTGTGTTTTTTCCTTTCTGTCCCCTCCCCAAGATCTCATACTTTTTTTCAGGGCTTACGTAGCTACTCCTGATTCCTCAAAATAATGCTGAAAGTAACTTTTCGGGGGCACTTTGCTGTTTGTTTCTTTAATGCAGAGACTTGTATTAAAAGTCCAGTACATGACCAGCTTCTAGTTGAAGATGTGTGCATGTGTTTACTTATGTACATGTCATAGGACTTAGGTTTTTATCACACTCCCTTCTGGTCAGGAGAAAAAAACCCTATATAGTTCCATGCCATTAACTATCATTTGGAGGGTTTACTTTTCCATGCTACTTAAATGTTTACATATAAACGTACATACAAGATAGTTTCGGTAATTTTTTAAAAACACTGTATCTGCACACATATATAGAGAAAGAAAGACTATGGTCATGCTATTTTCCCCCACTTTTTATGCTCTTCCTGTCTGTCCCTTCGGTTCCTCCCTCTTAAAATGTCACTGATCCTCAGTCTCATAAAAATATTTTGGAATCTGTGAGTATGAATTTAGGAATTTCACTATGCTAATGCAGAAACTTATTATTCATGTTTGCTTGTTTCTGCCCTTTTAGTTCTCTGTGGTGTTGATAAAACTGTTTCCTGTGCCATGTGGTAAAGTGATTTGGATTAAAAATAATTTTGTTTTAAAGTTTTACCACTCTACCTTTTAAGAAGTTTTTCCAGAACAATTAATAGGATGTAGCAAGGATGGGAATGAACATGGAAATGGGAGGTAGGGTTAGAATTACTGACCATAAAAGTTACCTGTTCTTATGAGATGACTGAAAAAGATTCTGGAATTGTCAGCTCTGAGGGCATTTGAATGATTCTTCCGTGACTTCAGCACTATGCTTTTCTTTACTCAGATTCAGAATAAGGTTTGGTCAAGTTTGGTGCAACTTGGTTAGAATACAGTTTCATGTTATTTGCTTAAAATAGGTTATGAGAGTAATATAGCTTACTTGTTTGAGCACTGTAGGACTAAAGTTAAAACCTCTAAGCAGCAGTTTTATTTGCAGTTTTTTTCACAGTGTATGCATATGAAATTTCAGATAGTTCTCCAGTTTTCAGAACTTCAGTTACAGAATAATAATAGCTGCCTTCTGGTTTTGAAAATAATTTGCAAGATCACTTTCCAGTAGTCACAAGGGATATTCTGTTCTGATTTCCATGAGTTATATTTGGTTCTTACAAATATGATGACATCCTCTAATGCAAAGATTGAATATATCAGTACCTGTTTAAGCACTTCAAAACATGGATGCTCAAGCTGCTTGATGATTCTGAAATGGTCACTGGTATAACACAACAAGGAAATGTCTGTGCCGAAGTTAAGAGAACATGCAACATTCCATCTATCCTTATGAAGTTCTGTGGGCCTAGTTCAAATCACTGAAGCAGTGGTCTATCATTATTCTGTCTGATGGTGAGCCTAATACAGACCATCAGCAGGTGGCTTCAGCTGATGTAGAAAACAGAAGTACCTTCTTTGCTTAGATCACAGTTTTGAAGCTTTTGTGCTGTAAGGTCTGTCAGGATTTCAGGAGCTTGCAGTTATGTTGAGCATGCTCTTCTGAGTTTGACCTCTTCAGGAGGAAAGTTGTAACTTGTTTGTCTGTCTTACCTAATTATGTCAAATTTTACCTCTTAGTTATGTGCAGCCAAAATTTGATTAAGGGGTATAATTTAAACAAGTTACAATTCTTTAAGTTTTATGTGATTTGGATGAAAACAGAAGAGGGACTCTTAAATGTCTGTTTTGGGAAAGATTGTGGTGTCCCCTTGCATTAGAAAATACGGGTAGGTGAAGCTTGGAAAAGAAAACAAATTTCTACTAAACTGGGAATTAGCTATTTGTTCTAAAATCGTTTAGTATTTCAGAGTTCCTTTAGTTCATAAGGTGTTGCAGTCAGGATACAAAGATACTAATTTGTGTTGCAGAAGTTGGGTATTTTATTTGTGCAGGTGTAATAACCTGGACATACAGTCCCTGCATTTGATAATGGATTGTTCTTGTTACTTTTCAGTGATAGATGGTGGTTCTTCAAAACGTACTACCTTCTTCTTGTAATTCTGTTGTAAAGACTCTGAGCATGATAGCAAATGGATACCTGAGATTATGAAAGCAAAGAATTACGGACATTTATGTAGTAGAAAGCCTGTTATTCAATGCATGCTATATGTTCAAGAGAATGAGGAAACCTGGGATGTAATTTTAAATCTTACTCTTCCATTGTTGTATACATAAATGAGCTTCCTCCTCAGTAAAAAGAGGGAAGCCATTTTTGTGGAAAAATAAAGGGCTAGAAGAAACTATAAGGAAGGTTTTAAATTTCTATATTTCTCTGTCATGAATAATAGAGAAAATGTTTATTACTTTTCAAAAAAAGGCTTTTCTCCCCCTCAAGATAACTAGCTTACCCTTTTGTGTTATTGTTTGGTTTGTTGTCTTGGGTTTTTTTCTTTCTCCAAAGTAGTGTTGGATATTTTGTTGCATGTCAACACTAAGCCATATGTTAAAATAGGACTTAGTAGACTTCCCATATCTGTATCTGGATAGACCAGAGAGCTACACAAAGATGCACAAATTCTGACTGCATTTGTCAATAGGAGCACTGTTTAGCCAGTGTTAATGCTAGCCAGTATGAGATTTTTGTCATCTAGCTTAATGCATGTCTGTTTCTTACTGTCATATACTCTCCAGGATAATCTACGTGTGATGTCAGGTTCAGACACATCAGAAGCTTTGGTTTTTGTTAATAAAAATATAGTTCTACAACATTTAACTTCATCAGAATTAATTGCAATGGCTAACTGAGTCTGCAAACAGTACCTGGAATACAATTTCAAGATAAGACTGGGGGGGAAGGTTTATTGAGGTCTTGCCTTTGCAAATGGTGTTTTTACATATCAGGCTGTTCGGAAATTAATTGCCAATTTCAACCTGTATGTTTGAAGTGGCATATCTCAGCTCAGAATAAAATTTATTAATCGAAATAAAAAACATTAGAATCAACACATTTTTGCCAACAAGAAACAAGCATATTTATTCTGGTTGCATAAAATTCTGGACTTCTGGAGGCGATAAAGTCATTGAAGGCAGTTGCAGCCTCCCCTTGGTTTCTGAAGCGTCTCCCACACAGGAAGCTGTCGAGATGCTTGAAGAAGTGATAGTTGGTGGGCGAGAGGTCTGGTGAGTACAGTGGATGAGGCAGAGTTTCGTAGCCCAGCTCGTTCAACCATTGCACCGTTGAAAGTGCAGCATGTTATCACGCATTATCATGGAGAAGGATTGGACCCTTTCTGTTGACCAGTGCTGGGCGCAGCCGTTGAAGTTTCTGGTGCATTTCATTGATTTGCTGGACGTACTTCTCCACCATGATCATTTCACCCGGATTCAGGAAGCTGTGATGGATTAAACCAGCAGTAGACCACCAGACAGCATGACCTTTTGGTGCAGATTTGGCTTTGGGAAGTGCTGCGGAGCTTCAATCACAGTTCAACTGCTGAGCCAATCATCACTGGTTATCGTAGAGTATCCATTTCTTGTTGTACATCACAATACGATCGAGAAACGGGTCATTCTGGTTGCGAAAAAGAAGCACCGACGACACTTCAAAATGGTGATTTCTGTGATTCTCATTCAGTTCATGCAGCACCCATTTGTCGAGCTTCTTTGACTTTCCAGTCTTCTTCAGATGCTCAGAAACAGTTGATATGCTTACCCCAAGCTCTTTTGCAAGTTCTCGAACAGTTGTCCATGTATCTACTTCCACCTGTTGTAGTTTAAGCCCTGCCGGGACTGGAGAGCACGTTGCTGTTGCCTCTCCCCACCTGCAGTCTGTCGGGCTGGAAGGGAGGCACAAACCTGGGCTAAAATAAGAAGAAATTTAATTCAACAGTGTGATAAAACAATCTGAACAACAACAGTAACAGTAACAACAATAAACAGCAATAATAGTGAACAAGACAAGTGATATACAGAGAAATACCGCTAAATGGTCACGGAACAGGTTCCCGCCACCAAGCCCACCAAAGAGCAAGTAAAAAGGTTCCACCCCTGGACCTGACGCCAGCATGGTATGAATAACCCGGCTGGAGATCTCTTCCCCCTCTCTCTCTGCTGGGGAAACCTAATGCTATCCTAATTGAACCAGGACACACCAGAGCCTTCAATTCATCGTCGTCAATAGCAGAAGGATGTCCACAACATTCTTGATCTTCAAGGACGAAATTGCCACGTCGAAATTTTTGGAACCAAAGTCGCACTGTCCGTTTGTTAACACTTCCCTGGCCATATACCTCACTGATGTTTCGAGCAGCTTGCACTGCTTTACATCCAAGTTTGAACTCGTAGATCTGTCGAAATTGCTGTTTTGACATCTGAACTTCAAACCTCCAAAATTTGTCAAAAACTCAGTTTATAGTATAATTTAATTATACAGTGTGAAAGTTCATAACATGAGCTTTTAAAAAATTATATAACAGTATGCCAGTCGAGAAGGTACTATTCCTGAAACATATACAATGAAAATCACATTACAAACCGGAAATTAATTTCCAAACAGCCTAATAGTTTCATTTTGATTATTCATGGTGAAAAAAAGACCTTTAAAATATAAATTTAATTTGAAATTTTGGTTTCGATGCATATCAGAGAAAGTACAGTCTTGCAACAATAATAGTACAACAGTAAACTGAAATGCAGAATAAAACTCCAGGGAGTTTTTTGGTCATAAGATTGTGGTGATGTAGGTGGTTTCAGGGTGTAAGATGTAGAGAGACAAATGGACATAGCAAGGGGAGCAAAAAACTAAAACCGCAGTTGTTTGTACACTTAATGAACATAAGCTAAAAACGAAACTCCAGGCAGCACTGAGTGTTCATCTGATCTTGCAGACAGCCTGAAACAGTAGTTTGAGAGGGGTAGATGTTCCATGTATCTAAATGTATAATTAGTTTAAAACTCATTCCCGTTGACTCTTTCCACACTGTTCAAATGAAGATCGTGTGGACAAGAGAGGGTCTAGCAACCAAATCTTGCATGTTCACTGTGACTGAAATCAGTGGTTATTTTGTTATAACCACATGTGCTTTGATGATGATTTGGTGTCTGGCTCTTGTGAAGGAAAGTCCCCTTTCCTCATCAGTTTTGCATGCTTTTAGGGAGAGATGAGGAGATTTCTGACACATAGGATGACTTAAGTCCTTTTGCAGTACTTCATGTAGGATGTCAGAGTTGCTAATTCATCACTGTTTGCTTATGTCAGTTAAGAGTTAATGGGACGACAACATACTGTTTTATTCATGACTGTTCTATTCATGGTGTGTTGTTCATGGATATTCACCTTTATTACAGGGTTAGAGTGGCTCTGGTGAACCAGAATGGTGTTTTAGATCTCCTGCTTCTGTGCTTGACGTTATGGGAAGTAGGGTGTTGGAGTGTTCCTTGCTTCCTTTAAAATGGAAAGAGGAAGCTTTGGAAATACCCCATGGAGGAATGAAGATACTGGATTTAAAGAGCTATTAGAGCAGTAGGATGTTACTGTCAAAGTGAGTAATCCTGTCACAGATTAGAGAAATGAAAAAGTGAAAAATGCCATGTATCATGTAGTTTAGCCTTTTTCTAATGCACAGCTTGTCCCCTGGTAAGTTAAAATCAAGATCATTCTTAAAGTTGTATGAGATTCCCATACTGTTTCATAAAGTTCAAGTACTTTTGGTATTGGTCTAGGTGAGGAAGAGGATGGGTTGGAAAGATGATAAAGTAAGAGGGGCAGAAGGAGAAAAGAGTTTGGGAAAGCCAGAGTTTGAGATTGGGGGCATGGGAGAGATGTGTTGTTCTGGAAATGATTGTTTTTCTAACGTAATTATGGAGGATCAAGTAGAGCAGGCATTATGACAGTAAAATATTCCTGATGCAGCTTCTTAAATTCCTGTTCATTATTGGGCATGTAACCTGGAATAAGTTAATTGCATTTGGTTCCTTCACTTTTGGAATTAGAAACCCAAAGGGGGAGGAATGACAGCCTTTTCAGCAAGAGAAGGTTTAGTAGAGACAAGCATGTTTGTGTTGAAAGGTAACTAGTAAATCAGCAATGTACTTGCTTCTGCACTAGAACAGCTGAAACCTCTTCTTAGCAGCTGTGTGGCAACTCATTTTTGTGGGTTCAGAACTGCAGGTCACTTACCTGAAATTTGACATATCTTTTAAAAAAGCATTATTATATCCTAGAACAACTTCTTCCGTAAATCTACTGATCTGAGAACCCGGTAATCATATCTCTACTTTGAACATTTGAAGAGTGGAGATATGAATAAAACTCCAAACCCCCATGAAAACAAAACAAAAAAACAACAGAAAAGCCTTGGAGGTTAAAGTTTGTTGGCACTAGTAGCCTGAAACAGAAGGCCATAATACTTTCCTTCAGGGACTAAACAGTTGAAAATAGGTTCTGACACTGTGTTTGAAAATGACACTTCGTTTTCAAAACAGAACCCAAAACTTTTTTAATGGAAAAGGCTTTCATGTTGACATTTTCTTGTCCTAGATATTTCATATCTTGAAATTCGAGAGAAATGTATTTGTAGAACTTGTTACAATGACTTCAAGCATGTTTTTTTGTCCAATAAATAAATTGATAGATTATGAAATGCCATATGGATACATGGAGAAGGGGAATTTGAATGCCAGCTTTCAATAGATAGAATTTCAAATCTATGTTAACAAAGTAATAAAATTTGCTTTAGTGGCAGTGTTTTAATATGTATTGTTCACCAGGTTTAATTCATACTGGAAAAATTCTACTTTTGGGGTTACAAAAATGACCTTGATTTTATCTTAATGTAGGATTGAGCATTATGACTCAATTGACCTTGTTATTCCATTATACATCAACTTTATACATGTTTGGAAAGGCTCAGAAGGCAGTTGGGTCATGTTGTATTTCTGAATGATAGGAACTGTCAGCGCCATTCTTCACAAAAACAGGCACTGTCAGAATGCACCAGTGAGATTCAGAAGTTAAATTCTAAAACCCAAAGTAACTTGGGTTACCATCTACATCAATAACATATGCTGCTTTGGCCTTTCACTCACAGCTAGACACAAGCATGCAAGCAAAATCAGTTTCTGATATTTCTTCTTTTGGGAGTAAATAAATGCAAATCAACAACAGGAATTATTAGACCAATGCAGAGCTCTCAGTGTATTAGACCAATGTAATAGGTCTTCCTTCTGACACTGTGCGAAATCTTGCCTATTATTAAGCATATGTTGATGAATAGTGAGGATAGAAGCATTAGTTATAGTTAATATGGTTGATATTTTTAACTTTTATCTGCATTCTCAAATTTGTTGTATTTGCTGACATCTCTCTGTAACTTATTCTATGGACAGATCATCTACTTAGTATGGTACAGTTTTCTCATTATCCCCATCTTGTGACTATTTCTGCCAATTTTAAATTTTTTTTAAAGGAATTTGTGAACTTTAAGCATGCTTGAAAACAGTGTTAGTCATAAGTTAAATTTCTGGAGATAACAAAGGCCATGTCACTAGTTTTGTCTGGGGCTAACAAACAGTCTTGTTCATAATTGCGTTTTATGCAATTCTTTGTGATGCAGGAAAGTATCTGTTCTTATACTTGTGTATTTTTGGTTCTTGAGAGTCAACCAGGTCTGCACTTTTTTGTTACCACAGGACCTGAAACTAAATTTTTAGTATTTTGAGAAAAACTAGAAATTAAAGATGTCCCACCCCACCAGGCAGCTATTGATTTTTCTGCTGTTGGCCAGATTATCTCATAGATGAAGTTGTCTATTGTAAGTGATTAAAATATTGAGAGGCTTATGTAGTTTGCAGGGAAGCTTGAGCCTACTCACAAATAGTTTTAAAAAAACCCAAGTTTAGAAAAATCTTTTATATTAATAGGTTCAGTAAATTTGTATAGTCCTTAAGAGCTTATTATTTTATACATTTTATGCATGTACATGTTTTCACTCTTATGACAATATAGTGGTTTTTGATAAGCTTTTAAAATTATTTTGTAAAAATTTGATTGTGTTACAAAGTATACCTCGAAAACTGTCTTAAGATCACATCCTTTATTTTTTCTAATAAAAGATAATGTTAAACTAGCTGGAGGCAAGCTTAACAGTTAATACTACCTTCTTTATAATGTGTATTTCCATATTTCATAAGAAATGAATGGCATATTTCTCTCTGAGTTTCAAAGTTCAGATGTTCCCTCCTGGCAGTATAACGGTATGTTTAGGTAACATTTTGTTAACAAGCCAGTTTCTAGCTACAGTAATTTCTGTCTGTCGTGATCTTCCCTTGACCTGTGACTGATGTTGAGGAAGTAAATTAACTTTTGACTCAACTAGACAGACTGTAGGCAGCTACAGAATGTGTGTGGGCAAACAATCTTGCAGCTGCTTATTCTTGGAGTGTTAACATGGAAGGTTTCATAAACAGCTTCTATTTATTTTTTAAAAATCAGATTTGTTGTATTTTATATAAAATATTTGAAGACCTATCTTTTATGAAGATATACTCTAGATGTAAATACTTCTGATGTTGTCTTTTGCTGTCAGTCTAATGAAGTAACGTAAGTAATGCCATATCTATTAAAGTCCAAACCAAAATTTAATTGTAGAGGATGAGTGCTTACTTTTTCATCTTTTCAATATATATTTCAGTGGTATTAAGTAGAGATTTTTATGGATATTGCATCTGATATCAATAGTATTCAGAAGTGACATCTTTCATTATGAAACCGGAGATCTATTTTGTGGCTATTTAAAGAGCCAAGACTAAACAAGTGGCTTCCTTTCTGCAGAACCACAGTATTTTAAATGAAGAAAACAGCTCTCCATGCAGTAGCTTTGACTGTTCTGTCAAGTATTCAAGGAGTGTTCATAAGTGCTGCGTAAGTTATCTGAAGGGAAATTCTGCAGCAGTGATGTTTTGTCATATGTCAGTGTTGATTGTGCCTACCAGAGAAAGAGACAAATAATATGAATGTTGTTGTCTGAACTGGAATTCAAGAATAAGGTTTGCATTTGCAGCACCGGTTTTGCCTTAAGGGTTTATTCCACTTTCAAAAAGAGTGAGCAATAGCAAGGCTAGCCAGTCTCCTTTCTGAGAGCTGCTCAGATAATAAGAATATGAAAAGAGACTAGCAAAAGGAAAGAAAAGTACCAGTGAAGGAGGAGAGGATCAACGTGTAAGTAAGAGTGCAAGAGAACAGACACTTAGGGTAACTGACAAGGTTATTTTTATTCTCAAAGGTGAGTTCTCCCAAAATGCTTGTAAGATGTGTTTGCATATAATAAATAGTGGTAAATGGAAAGAAAACTAAGTAAGATAATTGTTGAACAACAGGGCATTCAGGATTTCTTTTAAAGTGGACATCATTTAAGTAGCTTGGCAGTTTCATTATATTAGTCTTGTAACACAGTAATTTATCCTTCATTAATTTATTGTCTCAACTCTGCTGAGAAGTATTTTCTAGAAGTACAGTACTTTCTAGAAGAAAGAACTTATTTTTCCTAAACTAGTGCCATGTAATTGTTACTTGCATGTAGAATAGCAGTTGAAATTTTGATGTGATAATTTTTTTAAAACTTCTGTCAGAGGTACTTGCATAGGTTGCTTACATTGAAGCCAACCATTTGTTTCAGGCTAAAGACAGATGTGTGTTATAGGAGCTAATTAATCACTCTGGTACTCACAAAAAACCTGTTAGTTTAGTATCTTTTAAAATAGAGATCAGATTTAAAATCAGTTGTTATAAAGAGGCTGCAGAAAAGTTAAATCCTGTGCTTTGGTTCCAAAGTAATGAGAATGAAAAACGAGTGCAATTGCATAGACTGGAAAAACTAGATTTTTATAGGAATTAATGACTAGCAGGGTCTGGCTGCTCGTGAAGGAAAAGTAAGCTGGAAGCTGAGGGTGATCCCACCAGGCATAGTGCCTTCACTGGTCAGGACACATTCCCACAGTATCTATACATGAGGAGAGCTGGGTGCTGGTAATAGGGCCCATCAACTGTCTCAGATGCAGCAAAGACATAAGCCAGGTCCAGGGAGTCTGGACAGGAGGAACAGAAACCAGACAGGTTTGGAGACAAGCTGCAACATGTGTCTGAAGTCTATCCAGGCAACAGGGTCTGAACAGGACTGGAGTCATACTGCAGCTTGGGTGAAGGGTGTAACCAGGCTTGGAGACAAGAGCCAGGCCTGAAGGTAGGTACACTTAATGATGTTGCTCAGGCAAGGGCTGAAGATCCAGAGCTGCGCTTAAATGGAGCTCCAGGTCCACAGGCAGGGGGGTGTTCATGACTCACCCTGGGTGAGATGGGTCACATCCATTAAGACCTGTTAGTGCCCTTAGGGTCCTGATGCAGAGTTTGACAGAGTTCGTCTTCAGATTTTTAGTGCTAGAGCATAGAGCACAAGATGACTTGAAAATTCAAGTTACATTCTCGTATGTAAGATGGCAGCATTGGTGTATCTTCTCTGCATGTAACTCAGTAGACCAAGTTTTATTGAAATATTATGGGGGTTGTTCCACTCAGGTGTGTGAAGAGGAAGTTGGAAATATGTCAAAAAAGCAATGATGTGGACAGGCAGAAGAATTAAAAAATGGGCTGTGGAGTGGTTAAGGTGTGTGGTAGAATGGAGAGTAGGAAGGGTACCTGAGAACTGTGGAATGGCAAGAATTCAAAGAGGAGTTGAGAACAAAAGCTTGACGTTGAAGGAAATTGAAGAGTAAGGTGCTGAGACAAGGCAAAGTTGACAAAGCAAGGGTGAAAAAATCATATGCAAGAGTACTAGCTAGATTGTCCCATTCTCATCTAGAACGACTGCTAAGAGCATATAGTTCTGAAAAGTGACCGCTTCTATATGTCTCATTCCATTTGTGAGGCATTTGGCTGTTTCTGAGTGGCTTTTATTAAGTACTCCAAACATAAATGAATAGATGGCTCTTAAATACATTTTTTCATAGTTACCCAACAGCTGAGGCTTACTAGCCAAATAGCTATATCGACTTCCATAAAACATAAACCAAGATGTAGTTTTCCAGTTACACTGTAAAGGATTCTTTTTTGTACTATAGCTTAGTTCTGTAGTTTATAGTTCAAGTGTTTGAGGGAATTAAAAAAGAAAGAAGTTATTTTTATTTATATGCTATGTTTT